CTATCTTTGTTCATGCATTTCCCTCTACCTGGAAAGTTCTTCCTTTTTCTATTGGCTATTTATATAAAGAGTTATTATGAACAAAACGGAAAGCATGGAAACTCTGGAAATATAACTTCCTTTCAAAAAACAGTATGGAGGAAATCAGTATCTTGACATTTTCTCTGATGCCTTATACTTCATTTCAGTAGAAAGCTAGAAAATATGGTGCTAACAATGAAGCATATTGTTGGTTTCATTGGGTACCTATATATCTTTTATTTCCTGAAGTTCTTTCTCTAGATAGCCCTCAAGGTGCGTCTAAGCTTAAATGTCACCTGTTTTGTGAGTCCTTCCCCAAATTCTTTAAAATCACAACTTACACATACACACCTGTCCCCCTTTCCTACCTTATTTTTCTCCCTAGCATTTTTTACCTAGCAATTTTAACATACAATATTTGTTACTTTTTTAATCTTGTTTTCTATCTCATACCATTTGACTGAAGTGCCACACAGGAAGGAATATTTATCCTTTTTTTTTTTTCTCCACTGCTGCAGTCCTAGCTCCTAGAAAAATATCTGATACACAGGAGTCACTAAATAAATATTTGTCCAATGAAGTCAAATCAAATTCCTAAAGTTAGTTAACTTCCTCGCTGTGATATGTAATTAACTAAGACCTCAAGTATTTTCAATTAGTGGTCTTTAACCAGAGGTGAAAGCCAAAATAATTCATTCAGGGTACTTTTGCAACACATATATAGTCAGGGATAGCTTGCCCTAAAATTAAGTTTATGAAGTGTAGGGTATAACTTGAACAAACATGCTTTGAAATAGCTCCCCAGAGGACTCTAATAATCACCCTCTGATGAGAACCACTACTAGAACTAAAATTAAAGAGACAAAAATTCAGCATTAAATCTCTTTTGTAACATTGTACATTCATAAGGAAAAAAAAAATGTCTGGTCCTGAATGATTTTGCATTTCAACTCCTTTCTTTAGATTGTAAATCCAATTCTTCAGGTATTCTGTCTTTCCAAATCTCTCTTTGGTAAAAGCACAAGACCTACTCACTTCAGTTTAAAATCCTGAGTTCATTTTTACTCAACCCTATCAAATTTTTACCCATTATTAGTCAGCTTACAAGTTCTATTAATTTTCTTAACATCATCATCTTTAAAATCTAAGGTCTTGGGGCTAGGACTATGGCTCAGCGTAAAGCGCTCGTCGAGCACATGCGAGGCCCTGGGTTCGATCCTCAGCATCATATAAAAATAAATAAACAAAATTAAGGTATTGTGTCCAACTACTTCAAAAAAATAAATATTAAAAATAAAATAAAATAAAGTCTAAGGTCTTGGGGCTGGGAGTCAGTAGTAGAACGCTCACCTAGTACGTTCGATCCTCAGCAGCACATAAAAATAAATGTATTGTGTCCAACTACAACTAAAAAATAAATATTAAAAAAAAAAAAGTCTAAGGTCTTAAATTCCCTGCATCTGAATTTGTAAAGTTTTCTAATTTTCCAGTTCCCAATCTAACCTATGTGTGGCTATGTTGAAGTAAACTAAATTTCCTTTGGTAATTGTACATCACTTTTCCTCTCAAAAACATATTCTTAAGCATTCATTTAATATATATTGACTATTTCCTACATGTTGAGCCTTTTTTATACATCAAATCCAAAGTTTCTCTTAATCGTTAGAGATAATAAATAAAAACTGAATGGTAATTATTTCTATAAAATGGCAGTCTTCTTAGTAGTACATCTACTTAAGTTTTATTTTGTGAGCACATTATATTCTCTACCATAGCTGGATTTTGCCTTTCTCTGGCAGACAGGATATCATTCCTTCAAGTATTTCATATAATGCTTTTTTAATCTTTTTAAATTGTTCTATGCTCTTTTTTGTGTTATTATCCTCCCTGGCAGGGACTTAACTCTAATAACTATCAAATTAACATTCAATTCTATTCTACATCTCTCTTGTGATTTTATCTAGCTAGCACCTAACATCATGCTTATGTCAATGAACAATCAGTCTTTTCATGTACTTCTCCAGGCAGCTCTTATATACTAACACATTTGAACACACTGAGAAAAAAATGGCCTCAAAAACAAGATGCAGCTGCACACACCGGTAATCCCAGCAGATGGGGAGGCTGAGACAGGAGGGAGGCTGAAACAGGAGGATCCTGAGTTCAAAGCCAGCCTCAGCAATTTAGCCAGGCGCTAAACAACTCAGTGAGACCCTGTCTCCGAATAAAATACAAAAAATGGCTGGGGATGTAGCACAGTAGTTGAGCACCCCTCAGTTCAATCCCTGGTACCCTCCCCCAGCCACCAAAAACAAGATGCATTACTGTAAAGATATACAGAACCACGCCATTAATCCACTAAATCTATATTACTAAACATCAAAAAAAGACCTCCACAAGGATGGTGGAATGTGATGGACATCATTATCCAAAGTACATGTATTAAGACACAAATTGGGGTGTCAAAATACTTTATATATACAGAAATATGAAAAATTGTGATATATGTAATATATTGTAATTTAATGTGTAATGCATATATACGTGTAATATAATGAATTGTAATGCATTCCACTGTCATTCATTCACTTATTTATTTATTTTTAAACCAATTTTAAAAAAAGACCTCCACTATACTGAGAATGTAGTCTTTGAAATAAGTTAAAATAATCATAATATAAATAAAAAGACAAAAATTCAAACCAATTTGAGTAACCTTTTCTGATCCTAAATGATAGTATAACAACACTGAAACCTAATAAATCACAAGCCAAAACAATGTTTGAAATAAGGTGGGACTGGCTTTTTCCATTGCCTCTTTACTTTTATGGATATGAAAGAAAAAAACGAAATGCATTCCCTCAACAATTTTAATAGCAAATGAAAGAGAATACTTACCATTAAAGCCCTGATAAGTATTCCTGCAAGCAGAGTGTGTGTAATCTATGAAGACATATTTAACAAAAAGGAATTAGTGCAATATTTACAAAAACCCAAATTTATAAATCCATCTATTAACACGATTTTTAAATGCCATTGACTCAATTATCTGAACAGCTGGGGCACAAATAATTACCAATATCCATTTGGGAAAACATGTATTCATGTTCTTCACTACCTAGCCAATGACAGGTTCATCATCCAAGTTATGCCAATGTAAAAATTAGTTTGTAACACCTGATAACAGTCAAAAGAGGGGATTCAGTATTGATTTATATTAAGTAACAAAAGGGCAGACATATTATGTAACAAAAATGTAAAAATCAGATACATCTGAGAATTGATTCTATGTTAACAAATTGTTTTCAAAGTTAATATTTCTTTTATCACTTAATTTGCTCTCTAAAGATTTCAAGATTTTATCAGAGAAATGCATATTTGAGTTTGTGCTACATCTACCCAAGATGTACCATCACAAAAAACCACATTGCCAATTTCTTTGTCAAAAACTAATTTCACAAAGTTAAATTCTTTACTTAAGTTTACAAGTGATGAAAAGAATAGAATTCAATTCAAGGGTCATTTGGATACAAAAGAACACTACAACAGTACACAGGATTATATTCAGATAAACCCTTTAACTCAAATTCCATCTTGTAAATACAGCAAGGTGGCTGAGGATGAGCAGTGATGGGCAATTACAAACACTTTATAACTGTAGGCATATGGTGAAAAGAAATAAACAATAACAAAAGAGTTATTCTATCACTTTTCCCATACTTAGATTTGGCAGTTTTAACTATCTGTCGTATGAAAACAAAAGATCAAAAGTTCATTCAATGTTAAAGATCAGTTTTTGGTGGGATTGAATGCATACAATTCCTAGTGATTTGGTTTTATTTATAAGTGCCGGGTTACTCAGGATTAATTCCGTGTAATAATATAAACTCTTTCCCATGTCTCCTTAATGATGTCACTACATACCATTTTATCTTGATGCTAAGTCCTATAAAAGTTGGACAAGATTTGAGGACAACCGCAATAATTCTACTATGTGACCCTGTGAACTGGCGTCAGAGATGACTGAAAGGTCTTGTAAAAATCCCGTTTATTTAATCAGTAAATCCAACACAGGCTGCTGTGTACTGATGTGAAGGGCGTCTTATGCTTCCTGTGCCAGAATTCTGATTGACTTAACACAAGCTTTAAAAAAAAAAAAAAAAAAGTGCTTTGGTTCACAAATTTACTGCCTATTAGGTATTTACGTCTAGGTAGTTTAGGGGGATGAAATATCCCAGTTTGCTAACCAGGAAATAGACTGCTTCTCGTTAGGTATAAATATCTACCTAAATATGACGCCCTTCAAACTCATCTTGAACTAAGTCAACCAGGAACAACACCGCGTACAAGCTTCTGGAAACTGTATTTAGCAAGAAGTCACCCAGGTTGAGGATTAACTAAACGGGCGATCTCGGTCACCGCCCCTTGGGGCCAAACCGAGCCACGCTGGGGCGGCCCGCTCGCCCTGCTGCCCGAGGCCGGGAAGTTGGAGGAGTGGAGGCAATCTGCACGCCCAGGGAGGCAGGGCGATTCCGGGCCCCGAACCCCGAGGCCCTAGGGCTCTGTGCTCTTCCTTCTCGGCACCGAGATCGGCACGGACCGTTCAGATCCCCGCTAGCAGTGGACACCCGGCGGACCGAATAGCGGCGCGCGGGTAGACAAGGAGGCCAAGTCCCGGCGCTGGGCCCGCGAAGGGCGGGTGGCCTCCGGGCCGGCAGAACAAAGCCCACACGGCCATCTTGAGACGGTAAACAGACCCCCAGCACAGGCCACCCCGCTCCCGCATGCCGCGACCACCAGCCCGAGGCGGTGCTTACCGTCCTCGAAGTCCATGGCGGAGGCTCCGGGCTGACGACCACGGCGGGAATAGTTGAGCTGCAGCCCGCAGCAAGAGCTCGCGACCTACCGTCCCACTAGACCAGTTCACGCGACCAAAAGCGGCGCTACCGGACGGGGAAGCCGCAGGCCACTGCGAGGCTGGGGGCGGGGCGGGCCGGCGCTGCCTGCCGCAGCAGCGCGGTCTGCGATTGGTTGGCGCGGGGTGATGGGCGGGCCTCTGCGTGGGGCGTGAAGCAGGGTCGCTGTCATGCTCTAAACACCCTGAGCTACCGAGTGTGACGGAAGGTGAAAAAGGAGCTCCAAAGACTGGAGGGGATTGCTGGAAAGTGAGCTGAGTGTTCTGGAAGGGCTGGCTGTGGCCCGCCATGTTTGAACCTGGCAAAAGCGAAAGGATCTGGTGGGAACATCTTCCTCCTGCCCGAACTAATAAAACCACGCGCCAACCTTCTGCTTTTTATTGGCTAGTGATGACCGATCAGAAAAATTTTTAAGTACTTCTCAAGTTTCTGCCTTGGAGACACAGAAGTCTGGAACGTGCGCAGAAGAACAGATTACTGAACAGAAAACAATTATGGAAATGGTCCAAATGATTCTGAATTTTAAGGTGCAATTAAAAGAACTGTAAAAGTTCTCAGGGTTAGATTTGTGGCACGAGTAATTCAGAACTTGAATGGCCCTCACAAACCCACACACACATATTGTATTATTGCCACTTTGGAAACAGTGTTAGGGACATAAGCAAAGTTACCCATGGGGCAATATGGGGGGGGGGGGGGCAGCTGTTTTGGTGATTCTGACCCTGGAATGTCTTGAACCTCACGTTAGAAACTTTTTTTCCCCACAGAGCAAATGGTGGCAACAATGAATTCATCACCACATAGGAAACCACCAATGAGACTTTGCTTTAGTCAAAGCGGGCAGCCTCCTTTGAACTGGAAGTGAATTGGAAGGAAAATTCGCAGGTATGTATTATTACTGTAGCTCCATATCTGAACAAAGCATTGTTTCCTTCTCATCATTTTCCTTCTCCACCTTGATTGACTCATCCTGTTCTCCACCCATTATTTGTTTTCTTCTTTTTACCCCTCCTGTACATGTTTTCTATTCACCTGAGCTGAGCATGTTTAAAACTGAACTCATAATTTCCCTCCTCAAACCTGCTCATCCTCCTTTATTCTTTCATCTACTAGTGGCATCATGAGCAACCACCCACTAATACCTGCCAGAAGGCTGCGAGTCATCCAGTTAACACTCAGTCTTCTCCCAGCCTCCCACCTGCAATCCATACTGAAGTCTTTCATCTATTCATTACCTCCTAAAGTTTTTTAAAGCTGTCCCCTCCTCTTCATCCCCACTACCATTACTTGAGTTAAAACTCTCATTATCTCTGTATGCATCTATTGCCTTAGCTTCCTAATTAATTTCTTTGTCCTTCAGCCTCTCCTGTTTTCAGCCTCCTCAGCCTGCAGTGATCTAAAAGCAAACCTGAACATGTCATTACACATCTCTAGCATGGCTTAAGTCTAGTCAAAGCTCCTTAACCTAGAACATGTGCAGCAAGATCTGGCCACAGCCTGACCTCCACTATCTCCCTTTATTTTCCCCCTTCTCTCTCCCACACTATTCCTTTTAATTAGCAGTTTTAGACTACTGGCTTCCAAAACATCCCTGTGCTTTTTTATGCTACTGAACTTTTGCTCACATTGTTGTCTCTCCTTGGAACATCACCTGGTTAAATCAAGGCATCCTCAAAACACAGCTCAGGATTTACCTTTTCTAGGAAACATTTCCAGACATCATCCCTGCCCTCTTGGTCAGCACCTTTCAAGTATTACTATGCAAGTTATTCACCTACGGACTTGTTAAAACAGATTCACATTCAGTCAGTCTGAGATGAGGTCAGAGAGTATGCATTCCCAACAAACCTATAAGGGCGGCGGCTGCTGGTGGCTTTGCTCTCTGTTACAGCATTGTCTCCCATGCATCAAGTACTCTGGTGTTACAACTTTCCACAATCAAAGCTCTTTATTTATAGAATAGTCTTCTGGGGCTGGAGATATAGCTCAGTGGTAAAACACTGGATGAACACATATGAGACCCTCAGTTCAATCCCCAGTACCCCCCTAAAAGTCTTCTTGTATCCTTAGTACCAAACACATGTTTGCCAAGTAAAATTGAGCTCTCCACTCCCTGTTTTTAAATCTTTTTCTTGTTTTCATTTTTACCCACAGCTTCCTCTGGTAAAGGAATGGTCTTATAACCTAAAATCTTCAGATCTTACCATGACTAGAAGGAAATAAACATTGGGTCACTATATTTTATGTAACACACACACACACACACACACACACACACACATACCCATCTCCCTTGAAAAAGAAAACTGCCAGACAAGGAATTCTTAACTCCAGAGGAAGCCTGGCCATAATCACATGGACAGCCAGGATACATATAGCTCTTTGCCCCTTTCTTCCTCTTTCCCAAATAGGAAATGTTCTTTCACAGATGGTCATACCCCAGAGATACCTTGCAGTTAATGCACAAGAGGCCATCAAGTTTTTCCTTGACTCACTTATTCAACAAATACTAATTGAGCACCACCTATATGCCAAGCATCATTTTCTCACTTCATTGTCATTGTTCACCCCTACCACCCCTACTGTGGAGAGTCTAAACGGGACTACCTGATTCCCACTTTGCTAGACTCACACACTTTTACCCTAAGATCTCAATCTTTTGTACAAAGTCATATGCCCTTTTGTTTTTCATATAATTTACAACAGGTGGAAGCTGGAGGTGTGGCTCAGTTGTAGAGCACTTGACTAGCATGCACAAGGCCCTGGGATCAATTCCCAGCCCAAGACATAAACATACAAAATTACAACAAGTAACAGGTTCATAAATCCCAGAGAAACAAAGTCTAATGGGAAAAATAAAAGAGGGTTTTTGTTTTGTTTTGTTTTTTACTTTGCAGAGTAGCAAAAGATATGGGGGCTGAGATCAAAAACAAACTGCAGGGACAAGGAGGAAATAGAGGTCCCACGTAGGACCTGTTCCTGAGGGAGTTGTCAGAGAAGCTCCACCCCCGAACCTGAAAAGAACTCACTGAATGGACTCCTTGAGGACACAGAGAACTTTGTTCCTCAACTCTTAACCCTTCTGCCTATATAACTTTTGTTTCAACAACCAGCACCATCAGCTGTTCCCTGAACAAACTCTGTATTTTCACATTTCTGTGCCTTTGCTCAAATTATACCTTGCTGCTATTGCTGAGATAACTTGCTGCTTCCTTCTGTGTTTTAGGTTCACTATAAATGTGGCCTCTTTTTAAACCTCTCCCCAATCAGAGTCTCATTCACTTTATGTAACCTTATTAGCAGTTTCACAGTTGGATTCTTGTTATAGTGAGTGAGCTAGTTATATCTTTCTGTAGCTCCTTGCTTATCCTTTTTGAATGTGAAAACCCTTCTTTGTGCCCTTTAGGTGGCCTATACATAGCACACTGACACTACATATGTTGAGGGAGAGGAGCATTCGCTAAATCACTACTGAGAAAAAGACTTGATTGAAATTGGTTGCCCAGAGATTCATCTGCACAAAACTACATTGGAGCTGGGGATATAGCTTAGTTGGTAGAGTGCCTGTGTCACATGTACATAGGTCCTGGATTCAATCCCCAGCACCACCAAAAAGCAAAAGAAAGGAAAAAGGAAACTACTACATTATACAATTATTTTGGAGAGTAACAGTAGAGTTGAGACCAGTTTTCACAATGCTTTCCTATTTTGCCTCCAAGTAATTATTATTCCCATGTTCTTTATGGAATCCAGAAACAGTTAAAGAATAAACTCAAGACTTAAGAATTACTGTCTTACAGCAAAGCAGTCAAACTTAAAAGTAATTCCCACTGAAGACTCGAAGGACTTATCAAAGGAGAGTTGGTTACAGGGCCATACAATGGAAAACTGAAATCAACTAGTATGATGGTGTGCGGTGGAATGTATTTTATACATATGACAAGGTGTTTCTCCCAGGTTTTAATATAGAACTTCAAAAAGGTGTGGGAATCTCTGCCAGTTGAAAGGAATAGCAATAAAAATAATTAACCATTATTAAGCCCTATAATATAAATATGCTTTTAAAGGCACTTTACATATATTAACTCATTTTAGCCACCTGAAAAACCCTATGATGCAGTGGCTAATAACATCCCCAACTTACCAGTGAGGAAACTGAGACCAAGACAGGTAAAGCTACTTGCCCAACGTCACACAGCTGATAAAGGGTAGAGCAGAGATTCCAGCCCAGCCAGGCTGGTTCCAGAATCCAAACTTGTATATCTATCATTTTGAAGTATTTACTATGCTTTACTGAGCAGCTAATTGTGTTCCAGAAATTTTGATGAACACCCTGTTATGTGCCTTATTTCTGATCTTTACAATGAAGTAGGTTGTACCCTTTTTCAAAAGAGGAAAACTGAAGAGAAGTCAAATAATCTACCCAAAAGTACACAACAAGCAGTTACACGCTCCGTATTCATGATAAATATTATACAGTCAGGCATAGGTCTATTGGTATGTGAAGCCAACCTTGTAGACCCAATATCATCATCAGAGTCCTAGGTTTAAAAAAGAAATGACCGATGGTTTCACATCATTCTGCATAATGTGGTCAAAGAGAACTACTTAGGAAAAGAAGTGATCATGAATGCTTTGCCCTATGCTCCAGGCCTTCCTCAAATTAGAAAAACCAAACAGCTTTGTATGAATTTCCTTCCCAAGAAAGCAGGGTGAAGTTCCAAATGCACAGGTGCTTTCAAAATGTAACAGTTACTTTCCTGTCTCAGCTACATATTATATAAAGTATGCTCTTTTTGGAAAATGAGGTTAATTTTCTTTTAGGGATTCAGTTAAAACTATGATTTACTGCCATTCGTTTTATACTACTAATGTGTTTTAGTCTGCCACAAATTTTAATTGTCCAAGTAAATTGAAAGCAAGCTGGCTGTGACATCTGTCAACTGCACTGGGGTCTACAAGAAATCAAGTTCTTCCGTTTGGATGTCCCAGTCTTGTTGAACAGGTCAACCCACTTGGCCCTGTTTTTCCCAGCAAATAATGATCCCCATGAAAGCAAAGATTTCATCTTCGTATCGCCAGACCCCTAGAAGCATATCTGGCACATGGTAGGTTGTTGATGTGTGTTGAATAAATAAAAAATAAAAAGACCTACAGCCAGATCCTGTATTTATATAGTTCCATTATACATTAAGGCAATATCTAGAAATAAAAATGCAGACATATAAGATTTAAACACAAAGGTATGCAATTTAAACCACTTGTAGAGTCCTTCCCGATGATATAGTTTACAACAGAAAAGGGCACAGTCCTAGAATAGCCAGTAGAGGGCACCATACACCAAATGTAGACAACAGAATTTGGGCACAAGTTCTAGATTCTGGTGATCTCAAGGTTCTCAAATAAACACCATGGTAGAGAATACTCATGTGGGCCTATGTTCTGCAGGTACCTGTATTTCTATTAAAGTGTAATCATAAATATAAATGTTCCCATTTGCCTTCATTAGCTTTCATTTTTAGAGATGACTTTGAAAGCATGAAACAATGCAAAATGCTTATTTATTAGAATGATAAATTTTGAAAAGGAAAATACAGAATTGCATATGGAATTGGATCATTGCTATGTTAAAAATTTTTTAAAAGATAAAGTATAGAAATAAAATAGAAAAAAAAATCCAAAACATGAATAGTGATTCTATTTGTAATGACCTTTTCTATACACAGGCATGTTTTATTCTTCTACATTCTCCAAATTTCTTGAGCACTTTGATAATAGAAAATATGTATTTGACATAAAATAAGATGCTGTATTTATTAATGACTAGTATCTATTAAAAGTTGTCTTTAGTCAAATACTGTACTTACTATTGTGGAGACATAGTTAAGGTGGGGGATGGGGTGTTCCAGTGGCCATTTGAGTCACTGTGGAATCCAGGGCATTTTTTAGTAAGCACCAATACTCAAGCATCACTTCAAGGATTCTGAACACTTCAAGGATTCTGAACACAGTCATCAGTGTTTAACTATTTTCAAGACATTCTAAGAGGTGCTATTTGAAATAAATTATTTTGTGTTTTAGTAACTTGTACTTGAGAAAATGTCAAGTCTGTTAAAAGATTGAATAACCACACATTCCCTGATTGATCTGTTGAGAAATGGGAAAACAACTGCACCCTGAGTCAGGGCTGGTACAGACACGTGTACATCCTGCAGCTCTAAAAGCTGGCTTGATTCCCTGTAACTACCCTGCAGCCCTTGGGAGATAATTAGCTAATGACAGTAAAGGGCTTTTAAACTTGAAACATGTTGTATAAATGCTAAACACAGGAAATACACAAAGGATTTCCCCTGATTGCCAATACTTCTCAACCAGAGACAATTTGATGAATCTTTTGGTCAATTTCTCTTCTGCACCTAAAATCTTTCTAATCTGTCATCTAAGGGAAACAAAAGGAGTTATTTTTCAAATGACTTTCCTTCAAATCAAAGACCTAAGAAGATTACATCTTTCACTCTCATAGAAGTGAGATGCCTGCCTTAACAAAACACCACATTATAAAGTGGTTTGTGTGGATGTAGTTTAGGCAGTGGGCTGGTTTGCTTGTATAACTGAAGAAACACCCCAGACATCATCTTTTGGGGCTGTTTGTTGTTGTTTTGTGTTTTTGTTTGCTTGTTTTTTAAGATAAGGGATTCACTATGTTCCCCAGGATGAGCTCAAGTAATCCTGTCTCAGCCTCTTGAGTAGCAGGGACTTGAGTCACACACTACTATGCCTAGTTCATCTTTTGTTTAAAAGCAAATAATTGTGTGCATTCGGTGGAAAATCACATAGAATGAAAGAGCTCCAGTGAAAAGTAGCTGGTTTTCCCCCACCTGGTCCAGTTTTAGCTTATCTGCAAGGAAACCTCTTTTTTATCTGGTGTGAGATCAATAATATTTACTTCCGGGCTAGGGATGTGGCTCAAGCGGTAGCGCGCTTGCCTGGCATGCGTGCGGCCAGAGTTGGATCCTCAGCACCACATACAAACAAAGATGTTGTGTCCACCGAAAACTAAAAAATAAATATTAAAAAATTCTATCTATCTATCTTAAAATAATAATAATAATAATAATAATAATAATAGTATTTACTTCCACCGTACTCTATATCTCTTCTTCTTGGTTTACCAATGTAGTTGGCATTAGTAGATTCCACAGTATGAAAATGGACATGCATCACATCCTACCTTCCTCCTCTCTGCTTTCAATGCAACAATAGTATTTTATTTCCCCATAGGAAATATGACATATAAAATATATAATATGTATACATAATATATATCATATGTACATATAATGTGTGCATACATTATGTGTTATATATTATATAATTGTCTATATATCATATATTATATAATTATATATAATATGTATATATCTCTATTATATGTACATATAATATATGTTTATATATATTTATTTATATTTGGGGGGGTGTACAGGGGATTGAACTCAGGGGCACTCGACCACTGAGCCACATCCCCAGCCCTATTTTGGGCTGAGTTGTTTAGCACCTCACTAAATTGCTGAGCCTGGCTTTGAACTCATGATCCTCCTGCCTCAGCTCCCCTATGCCAGACGTTGGGATTACAGGCATGTGCCACCGCACTTAGCCTAAACTTTTATATTTTTAAATAAATATTCAAATTTCTACTTCTTTTAATGTAGTATTTGTGGATTTCTGTTTTATAGAATAAAAGTAGTGGTTCCTCTTCCCATTCCTCCACTCTTCCTCTGCTTTTCATTTTTTTCCAGCTACACTTTGCCACTAACAAAATTGTTAACATTTGCATTGTATGCTGTAGCCATTAAAAAAAAAATCATTCTCTGCTTTATCTTTAGGTTGACTTTAGAAGTTAAAAAACTATCTATTTCCTTCCAAGAGTAAACTATGCCAAGGGAGGAGAAGGAAGTGATTTTATATCAGAGATGCCTGGCAAACACAAGGTGATCAAGGTCAACGTCAACAATGATAAGTCAGGTATAGTATATACTCTTGGTCGAATGTAACGAAAATGGCACTTTACCTTTGTGGTCTTCACTAGAGAACCAATAACCACATCTCAATTGTAAGAAAAAATGTCAGATAAACCTCAAGAAAGAGATATTTTTATTCCTGGTCATAGTTTGCTCCATGTACAGTTTGTGACTTAATTGCTCAAACTTTTTTCCTCAAGTTTCTAATTGTCATTTTATTTTGTGTACTCCAGCTTGTAGTATTTTCTGCTCACTTTTTTTTTTTTTTTTAATCAGGGATTGAACCCAGGGTTGCTTAACCACGGAACCACATCCCCAGCTCTTTTTTGTATTTTATTGGAGACAAGGTCTCACCGAGTTGCTTGGGGTCTCACTAAGTTGCTGAGGCTGGACTTGAACTTGCATTTCTTCTGCCTCAGCCTCCCAAATCAATGGGATTACAGTCGTGCACCACACCCAGCTGGCTGCCCATTCTATTTTAATAGGAAAAAGAACACAGGAAATTTATTACATGCCTAAGACACAGGAGTATTAGATTCCTTCCTGTCCACTTTAACCATTCACTTTCCACTTTCACTTTCTTTTAGAAATTGGTTGAAATTACCAGCCTGCTGGTTTCTATTTCTATATCTCCCCAATACATACTATTTTTTTAAAAAAAAAATTATTATTTTTTTTTTTAAATATTTTTTAATTATCGGCAGACACAACATCTTTGTATCTTTGTTTGTACGTGGTGCTGAGGATCGAACCCGGGCTGCACGGATGCCAGGCGAGCGCGCTACCACTTGAGCCACATCCCCAGCCCCTTATTTTTGTTGTTGATAAACTTCTATTTTATTTATTTATATGTGGTGCTGAGAATCGAACCCAGTGCCTCACACATGCCAGGCAAGTGTGCTACCATTGAGCCACAACCCCAGCCCCATAGTGATTTTTTTTTTTTTCTGTACATGTCTACTTGTATTTCAGTGGAGCCTCAGTAGAAGATAACTGCCTTTAGGTTTCCTCTTCTCTCTTGACAGGGAAACTTACTTCACCTTTCCTATGGTTTTATCATCATTCCTTACAGTGGGTATATTAGTAGCTTTAAAAATGGAAAAGTAAAGCCAGGCACACAACCTGTAGTCCCAGCTACTTACTCAGGTGGGAAGACCACCTGAGCCCAGGTGTTAAAGGCCAATCTGGACAACATAGCAAAACCCTGTGGGGTGGGGGGTAGGGAGGGAGCATCTGGAGCCTTATGGTTTTGAACTTACATTGGCTCCTTTAGGAGAAGGAAACAATTCTTTTGATCTATCAGTGGCTTCCTGCTACCAAATATTTCTAAAAGTAGATTGCTCAGATTGATACAATTCTCTTCCTTGTTTTAAAAGAACTGCATGATTATAGGAAAATGATTAAATTTAACAGAAACTTCCCTTGATCATTTTTAACAGATCCCTGCCTAAAGCACATGTTGTGCTTTCAGCATTGTCTTGAATGAGGCAGGCAGAACTAAAAGAATCACAGAGGGGAGGTGAAGTTGTCAAGTCTTGAAATGTATTTGGGGATCATTTGCCTTTATTCCCAACTTTTCAGCTGAGGACAAGAAGACCTGGTAAACTGAAGGTACTTGTCCAAGATTACTCAGCAAATAAGTGAAAGCATTAGTGTAAGAAAACAAGTCATTTTATTGTGTATATTTCAGCCTGTGGCATTTTCTGCCCATTACACTTTATTTTAACAGGAAAAAGGACACAAAATTTATTACATGCCTAAGGCATGGGAGTATGTGGCTCCTTCCTACTCATTGTAACCATTCATTTTCCTCTTTCACTCTTTCAGAAATTTTTGGAACTCTCAGGTCTGTTGGTTTCTACCCCTCACCAACACACACAGGTTACTCCCGATAGCCTTCTGACACATACCCCACCCTAAGTCTTGAGAAGCTGTTTTCCTTTTGCTTCACTCCAATCACCTTCCTCCAGCCACATCCTTTTCAGGAATTATGAAAAGAAAAACTAGAGAGGAGGGTAGGCTGGGAAGACGAGGACTGCCGCTGGGATGGAGTCAGACCTGCTTTTTCCAGGATCTACCTGCTAAGGCTGGGATCAGTGAACAAAACTTGTAACTTTGGGAATTACCCTTTTCTCCTCTCTCCCCACCCTTACCCCAAGGCTGCCTGAGAGAGAGTTGATACAGATGGCAGCTGTTTTTGACAAACATGTGTCCTGGCCCTAGAAATGAGAGATCTCTTTTACAAAAGAAGTTAGTAGATGTTCCTGTTTACATAATACACTGTTCTCCCCAGAGCCTTCTTATGTCCTGTCATATTGGTATGAATTACCAGGGGAGAAAGGTCGTAATTTTATGATGTTTAGTCCACTAATGAAGCAAAAGAAATGTTTTCTCTATTGTTTAATTTGTTTATTGCTGTTTGCTTCAGGAAATCAGAAAGGAAAATGTTAAGAGTATACTTGACTATTCATGTAGTTTTAAAAATGCAAAGTAATGAGGAAGAAGTCCTCTTCCACGTCCTATAATGGCCATCTGTAACAGCTCTGACAAATGAACTCTCATGTGTATCTCTGCCTGGTCTCATCTTTCATTTCTTGCTTACCCGCCTCTCTTCCTCACTTTCCCTTCATAGGCAACCTTCAAAACCTTGGCACTAATGTATTATAACTGTAACTGTCTCTGAGTCCCATCTGAAAATGTAACCAGCTTTGTGAGGCACTGAGGGCTCACTTCTGCATGCCTCCATTGAGTATCTTTAGCTGTGACTCAGCAAAGTTTCTTGTTTATGAGGGACAGCCTAATCTCCCTTAGCAATTTCTGTCCATCCTTTCAGATTCTTGTCTTGTAAGCTGTACCTTCTATAAGGTCAGGCACCAGTGATCAAAAGGAGGCAGGTTAAAAGCTGCTGAACAAGGCTTTATTGAGATTCGCTCTGGGAGAGACCCTTCAGTCCAACAGAGCAGGTACTAGGGAATCACACCCAGGCTCAGCTGGATTGGAATTTTATTGAGTTTGGAGCAGGAAGGGAGGGTTTGGGACAGGAAAGGGAGGTTTTTAGAGTCTCTTGTCCTCCTGGGGTTGGTCGGGGGATCTTGCTGAGATCCATGTCCTTCCAGGATTCATCAGGAGAACCCCACCGATTGACAGGTGGTTGAGACACCATCACTGCTTGTTTGTGGGCACCTGATTGGTTGTTGTTTCGTCCACGAGCCAGTTACATGGTGCTTTGTTCCCTTAGCCACTTCAAATCGACCTAATACCTTATCAGTTAGAAAGTTCAATACTAGGATCTTCTTTTTTTTTTTTCTTAAGAATAATGGCAAATGTAAGCTTTAAAATTAAATTCCAAATTGTAAAAATTCTTCTTGAGGCTGAAATGAAATATTCAAAAATCTCAAAATGGGACTGGGGACATAGCTCCATGGTAGAATGTGTACTTGGTTTGCACAGACAAGGACCTTTGTTCCATCCCCAGCAAATACAAACACCCTGTACCGTCCAATGCACACACATAAAAACAACAGCAATGAAACAAATCTCAAAATAGTTTATACTCACAACAAATGAATGCCTAATAAGAATAATGAGATAGTCATAGAAAAGATATTTAAAGATAAAGAATAAGATTGGGGTTGTAGCTCAGTAGTAGAACACTTGCCTAGTATGCACAAGTACCTGGGTTCTGTCCCCAACATTGAAAAGCGAGACAAAGAAAGAGAGAGAGATAATAGATGGTTAGTATAGATCTATTAATAGCATAGAAGCATTGGTATAACAAAAGTATTGATGGACAAGCTGGGAAATCAGAATATTGATTTGACTGTTAAATGATCTTTATGTACAACAATTTAGTTTACATTTCTAGATTAATTTTGTCATTGATATACAATATTTCTCAATGTACCAATGGAAACTCAAAAAACTTATGAGTAGTGGATGGACACTACAGCACATGAACACAAGTACATCCAGGGTTTGGATCCCATCTCTGCCAAAGTGAACTTTTACAAGTTTCATTCTGAGATAGTTTATCTATAAAGGGGGATAATAATGGTATGTTTCATAGGCCATTGTTGTGAGGATTAAATGAAATAATCCATTTAGCATAGTGCCTGACATATAGTTAGCACTCAGTGCTTTTATCATCATTCTGACTTTAGACAACCTCCTTTGCCTTCTTTAGGAGTCTCAACATCACAGTTACAAAGGGTCTTGCAGGTGTGTGTGCAATGTGCCTGCACATGAGAGTGTGATCTTTCTGAAAGAACTGTGCTTTCATTCTTTTTTTTTTTAAAAAAAAATATTTTTTAGATGTTGATGGATCTTTATTTTATTCATTTATTTATATGTGGTGCTGAGAATTGAACCTAGTGCCTCACACATGCCAGGCAAGCACTGTACCACTGAGCCACAATCCCAGCCCTGTGTTTTCATTCTTGTAGATTACTCATTTTGGTAAATGATATTCTAATATGAATGGTCAGTAAAGTTCTAATATATTTCTTTTCCTCTACATTTCCCACTTAAGTCACATTTTAAAACAAAGGTTTAAGATGGCATTTAAATTTCAGAGTCATGAGGACACATAAATACAGCAAATTCTGTTATCTAAGGCAATTTTTTCAAGGTGTCTTTTTAAACTCTAACTCATAGTTGACAATTTTCAAGGTAACTGAAATTGTGTCTGCACTCATCAGTAAAACTATACTGACCACTGTTTACATACTCTCTCTCTTTCTCCCTCCCCATCTTTATCTCTGTTTTAAAAAATATTTAAAATAAAATAAAATGTTTAAAATAAAAAAAAATAATGGACTTTATTTAAATTAACTGCTTTTCCACATTGTTAAAAAAATAAAACACAAGTTTTGGAAGAAATATTTGGAATGCATATATCTGACAAAGACTTGTATCTAAAATACAAAAGAATAAGGATACAACAACCTAATTTTTTTTTTACAGAGAGAGAGAGAATTTTTTAATATTTATTTTTTAGTTTTCGGC